AACGAGCACATGCCTGTTTACACCCGCCACTCCATAAAGGAGAATAGAGGTTCCGATCAGGTCTGACTGAAAAAAGTGCTGGTGGACCCAATCAGAATGTCCATGTGAAAGAGGTCTTACTAAAATTGGAGAGTGCAAAATCTGGTGTAGCTGTGCACAGTAGCCAATCAGCTTCCAACTTCAGCTTGTTCACTTAATCTTTGACAAAAAAAAAAATCTGGAAGCTGATTGGTTTCAGTTTTAGTAAATCAACCAAAATGTGTTGAAGAAAGAAATGAAAAGGACCCATTTATACCTTACTGTTGAGTTGCACTAAGTTACACATATTGGGTTTAATGTTAAATGGGCTGCCAATGCTTCACAAATAAATGTGACCCATAAATGCAGTGCACCACAAAACCAAGGTCCATGGCATGGATTTTTGTGAACTGCAGTGAGGTGGTTTGCTTACTACTGCCTTAGTGTGTTGGTGTGCATTCCAATCAAATTTGTATGCTTACTATACCATGGATAAATGTATTCAGGGCTGTCTGCTTCCAACAGCATGTGATCTCTATTACAATGCAGCACAACAATCCTCAACAATGACTCTAAGCACCAAATACACTGAATTAAACAGGTGATGCATATGCTTTCCATATTCTTTGTAGTTTTTGTTTGCTTGTGTGGGCCTGTGATATAATAATTAGAAAAAAAGCTTCCAGAAGAATGTGTAGAATTTAGATTGTTGATAGTTAAATCATAGTCCTAATAAATAATTTAAATCATGTGATTTTGTTAGGGTCACAATATAATTAGATACACAGAATATAACTGGATACTAACATTTATAGGTAAAGTTGATCCAGGGAATATCCGATTGCCTCTCGGGGATCAGAAAGGATTTTTTTTTTCCCAGCAGGAGCAAATTGTATCATGCTTTGCTGGGTTATGGGATCAATAGTGGGTATAAGATTATAACTTTTTTTTTTTTTTTTTGGGTTGAACTGGATGGACTTTTGTCTTTTTACAGCCAGACTTAGGGCTCGTTCATAATTGAATTTATTTTTAGGCGGTTGATAGGCTTTGCCAAGCGTTAAAATCTCACCACAAACGCCTATAATGACATTAACCACTTCAAGTCCAGACACTTTTACCCTCTTCCTGTCCAGGCCAATTTTCAGCTTTCAGGGCTATCACACTTTGAATGACAATTGCGCGGTCATGCAACATTGTACCCATATGAATTTTTTTGCATTTTTTTGAGACAGATAAAGCTTTATTTTGGTGGTATTTATTCACCACTGGGATTTTTATTTTTTTTGCTATATAAATGAAAAAGTCCAAAAATCTACACTGATTGCTTTTACACCCATAAAGGCTGTAAAAGCAATCATTTCTCCTTCTCTCTGGCTGCATTCTTGCAGCCATTAAGAAATACTGTGTGAGCTGTGATTGGTCGCAGCTTGTCACATGGTACAAGGCTGTTGTGAATAGCCTTGTACCATGTGACCTCTGTGATCATTCACAGATTTCACATGTAGTAAGCAATGATGTCAGAAGTGACATCTTGCTTACTACTCTGCATGTGATCACTGACTGGCCAACAGTGATCACATGATCAGGACCTCGCATAGAGGTCCTGTACGACGATCGGTGTTCCACTGTGTCCGGAGGACACAGCGGGCAACGGATCACGGTGCTGCACACTCCTAGGGAGCGCGCACAGCTTAAAAATGCGGGTACCGTTTATGAACGGCAACCCACCCCTGGACTACCACCATCCTGCCGTTTATAAACAGCGGCTGGATGGGAAGTGTTTAAATGGTATTAACGCTCCGCAACCGCCTTGCAACCGCACCGCAAATGCCTGCCAGGCGTTTGCAGAGTGGCACCATAGACTTGAATGGGAGGCTTCAACTCCTCCTGACTGGACATGAGGCGTCAGTTTTGCCACAACGCGACACTAATGCTTCAGTGTGAACAGCATTGTGTGCTGCCATGTGCAGAATTTTCATAGGCATTTGAGAAGCCTTAAAAATGCTTCCCAAACTCCTGTCTGATGCCTGCTGACAAAGCTAGTGTGAACTGAGCCTAACTATGTAGACAAATATTGTACTGTCTGTGTGGTATAGCCAATAATCGGAGAAGCTGTAGGATGCATGTACATTCAAGTGTTTTATGTATATATTTCTGCAGAACAGGATTGATGATTACATTGATTTATAAAATGAAGTTGTCTACGGATGCCAGCGGATGTCTACAGAGGATTATATACCTTCCTCTGAGCTAACAATTCTGTGATGTGCCACAAAAATGTGTATTAACCACTTCCCATCTGCCCTATAGGGAAAATACTGCTACAGGGCGGCACAGGTGTGCAAAATCACATATATATATATATATATACTTGATTTAGCATTTTTGGGTAGAGGGTGCACACCGCCATTCCACGGCTGTCAATCACCAAGTCCCGGCCAGTGATTACTCGCTGGTGCCCTTTGATTGCTGAGCATGTCCGACGGGGGGAGAACTGTTAGTAAACAAAACAGTTCTCCTCCCTGTCAGCTCGTGCACACTGCTTTGGTTGTGCACCGCACAGCCATGCAAAGCAGTGTGCTTACAGTAAAGTACTAACACACAGCCCCTAGTAAAACAACACACAGTTAACCCTTTGATTGCCCCACATGTTAACCCCTTCCTGCCCAGTGCCATTAGAACAGTGTCAGTGTTTTTTATTAGCATTGATCACGGTATTGGTGTCACTGGGGATGTCAGTGACACCAGTCAGTTCCCCCCAGTATCAGAATGGCCTCTGCAGTCCCGCTATAAGTCACTGAACGCTGCCATTACTAGTAAAAAAAAAATAAAGTACAGCATCAGTGCTTTTTATTAATCATTTCCCCCCAGTGTTAGAATGCCTGCCAGAGTCTCGCAGTCCCAATGATCGCCGCCATTACTAGTAAAAAGGTTTTTTTTTTTAAATCCCAGTATATATACCGCCATTTATAAAACGCTATAACTTTCAAGTAAACCAATTAATTTACACGTCTTGGGATTATTTTTTTTAGCAAAGACATCTAGCAGAATACATTTTGTCCCAAATTTATGACAAAATTAGATTTTTTAACTTTTTTCACTGGACATGTTTAATAGCAAAAAGTCAAAAATATTGTTTTTTTCTCAAAATTGTTGGTCTTTTTTTTATAGCGCAAAAAAATAAACGCAGAGGCGATCAAATACCACCGAAAGAAAGCTCAATTCGTTGAAAAAAAAGGACATACATTTCATTTGGGTGCAGCGTTGCATGACCGTACAATTGTCAGTTAAACTAACGCTGCACCGTAACGCAGAAAATGGCCTGGTCAGGAAGGGGGGGTAAATCCTCTGGAGGGCAAGTGGTTAAACAAAAGATACAATTAGAGCAATATAAAGCTTTCCTCCTCTGACTTCTCCATTTGCACATTCTAGTTGTCTGACTGTCATGCAGATCCATTGGCTTCCATACTTAATTAGTCAGGAATTCCGAGTTAATATGCAAATCCGGACTTCTGATTTCTCTGTGGCTTCTCTTGCTACATATTTGGCATGGATTATTGGCTCGGAAACAGCCAGGCAAATTATATTTTCAGAAGGAGGTCAGCAAAGACAGTCTAATTATTTCTCTCGGTATAGGTCTTTTATAAGAAGTGCGTTAACACATAAAGAATGGGCGCTTTTCTGCACATTATTTATTGTAATTTACTTGTAATTTGTAATTTATTTACAATAAAAACATATTTATTTGGTAATGCTTTTTCCATTCCTGAATTAAATCTCCTAGAAACTGTGTGAGCGCCTAGAGCTTTCAAACACTTTCCATGCCCCAGGTCATTTACTTGCTACAAAGAATTAGTTGTATGGCCTGGAGACAGGTACTCCTCTCGATGATCATAATGGCTCGCTAATTCTAATAACATACTTTCAGCCTTAAGCGTTTCAGTAATATGACACCCCAGAGGTTGACATGGCCACTTAGCAGAAATCTTTCGTCATTTAAAATAATGTAACCTATTTTGTTTTACATGCCAACTGTCTATTCCTAGGAGAAGGACATTTGCAGCTGGGAAAAAAAATGTACTTTACCCCTCTGCAGACTATCTTCTGCTGCTTTTTTACTGTGCTATATGTTTACTATTATGCTCTACAGCTGCTACATATTGTGTTCCCCACAAACCAATGTTTAAAGCTGAAACAAAGAGCTGAAAAAGCAGATGAAATACTGTATATATAAGGAAGCCAAAGGACTTGCATGTCTGTCCATCCATTCCTGAGATTTACACAGCCTCCCTCACACATCACAGCCTGGTGGATGACACCACCTAGAGTTAAAAATTACAATTCTTCCCCTTCTACACCCCCAGGCTTTTTCACTGGACAATGAAAGAGCAACAGCACTTTGATTATGTCTTCTGTCTGCTCACTTTGCTCTCTCCTCCTTATCAACATTCTTTGCAGTTTAACCACTTGCCCCCCAGAGGATTTACCCCCCTTCCTGACCAGGCCATGTTTTGCAATACGGCGCTGCGTTCCTTTAACTGACAATTGCACGGTTATGCAATGCTGCCCCAAATTAAATTTACGTTTTTTCCCACAAATAGAGCTTTCTTTTGGTGGTATTTGATCGCCTGTGCGGGTTTTTATTTTTGCGCTATAAACAAAAAAAAGACCAACAAATAAAAATAAAAAACTATATTTTTGACTTTTTGCTATTAAACAGGTCCAGTAAAAAAAAATTTAAAAATCAAATTTTATCATAAAATTTAGGCCAAAATGTATTCTGCTACATGTCTTTGCTAAAAAAACAATCCCAATACGTGTAAATTAATTGGTTTACATGAATGTTATAGCATCTACAAATGGAGGTATAGATACTGGAATTTTTTTTTTTATTTTTTTTTTACTAGTAATGGCAGCGTTCAGTGACTTATAGCGGGACTGCAGAGGCCATTCTGATACTGGGGGGAACTGACTGGTGTCACTGACTGTTCTATTGGCACTGGGCAGGAAGGGGTTAACATGTGGGGCGATCAAAGGGTTAACTGTATGCTGTTTTATTATGGGGACTGGGTTAGTGCTTTCATCTGTAAGCACACTGCTTGTATGGCTTTGCAATGCAGAGCCATACAAAGCATTGTGCAGGAGCTGAAAGAGGAGAGATCTGTACTGTGTACATACAGGTTTCTCTGCCATCAGAAATCCTCGGAGATCATCTGGTACCGGAGGGGAATCATCAGCCAGGACACGGTGATTAATAGCCAAGCCCGCGAATGGCGGTGCAAGTTGAGCACACGCGCCCCCTACCCAGAACTGCAAAATCACATATGCACAGCCATCCAGAGCAGTGTACTAACAGTGAAATACCAACACAACACCCCCTAGTGACCACTCCCAGCACACAGTTAACCCTTTGATCGCCACTCATGTTAACCATTTCCTGCCCAGCACTATTAGTACAGTGTCAGTGGGTTTTTTTTAGCACTGATCACTCTTTTGGTGTCACTGGGGATGTCAGTGATACCAAGTCAGTTCCCCCCAGTGTCAGAATGCCTGCCGCAATCCCTCTGTAAGTCGCTGATTGCCACCATTACTAGTAATAAAAATAAAATCCCAGTATATATACTGCCATTTGTAAATGCTATAACTTTCACGTAAACCAATTCATTTACACGTATTGTATTTTTCTCAAAATTGTTGGTCTTTTTTTATAGTGCAAAAAAATAAAAACCGCACAGGCAATCAAATACCACCAAAAGAAATATCAATTTGTTGGGAAAAAGGATGTAAATTTCAGTTTGGTGCAGCATTGTATGATCACGCAATTGTCAGTTAAAATAATGCAGTGCCGTAATGCAAAAAATGGCCTGGTCAGGAAGGGGGGTAAATACTCAGGAGGGCAAGTGGTTAATTGAACAAGTTAGAAGCTGATTAGCTACTGTGCACAGATGCACCAGATTCTGAGTGCACCAGTTTTAGCCAAACTCCCCCTTCATCTCCTGAAAAGTTATCTATACGCATCCCAATAATGTAAATCCATTTTTCATTAAATCATTTCTTACTGTGGTTTTCTGCCTCCTTGTAATGTCCTCCATGAGCTCCTCTTCTTTTCTCCCTCACTTTCGCTTGTTTGGAACAAGCAGCGAATGTTAGTTCTTCTCTGTGCACACTACACATCCCGTAGTCCATAGTGCATCTCAGAAGAAAGCAAGAGAGGGTGGATACATTCCTATATACAGTGGGACCATGAAGAAGGAATGTATCCACCCTCTAACAGGAAGTCAGATCACAGCAGCAAAAATAATAAGAAGACTAAGAAGGCCATAGATGGAGCAAATTTATTTGCTGCAACTACGGGTTGCAGGAACGAAATTCACCCAATTCCCCAGTCAACACAGATAGTGTTGACAGGGGAGTCCCTCCCGTGGAGCCATTGTGTTCTCCTATCAGGGGCCGGCAGAATGAGGGAAGCTACTTCCACCGGGAGAACACAGTGATTATTGCTATGGCAATAACAGCCGCTAGCAATGATCTCATGTAAAATCTGTCAGCCTGGTTGTACGATCGATCTCTTGGGTACATTCAGCCTTCCAATACATTTGAATCTCGGCCGATTCCTGCTAAACCAGCCAAGATTTGAATGGTCTATAGCCAGCTTTAGAGCAATAGAAGGTACATACTTTAATAGAATTTTTTTTACATTTATCCAAACTCCCTGCTGCCACCACCAACTGTAGAAAAGATTTCCATATACTTATTGCTCCAACAGTAAAAAACCCTTATGCAGTTTACGGTTGAACCGCCTCTTGTACAACGTCCTTGTGTGGTCTGCTTTAGAGACTTTAGAGACTAGGTTAAATAGTTTTCTTCCAATAATACAGTCCCCATTTACAGATTTGTATATAATGATCAACCCCTCTTAAGCGTCTCTTCCCCAGGGAAAATTAGTTTAATGTTTGTACAAAGTAGTCATTTCTCATAACTTAGCCTCTTTATTAGCTTTGTTACCCTTCTCTGGACTCTCTCCAGTCCAAGCACATCCTTCCTGGGGATTGGTGACCAAAACTGAGCCACATATTCAATATGTAGCCGAACCAATGTTTTGTAAAGTGGTAGAAACATAGTTTGATCTCTGGACTCTCTCCAGTCCAAACACATCCTTCCTGAGGACTGGTGACCAAAACTGAACCACATATTCAATATGTGGCCAAACCAGCGTTTTGTAAAATGGTAGAAATATAGTTTGATCTGTTAAGTAAATACCCTTTAAAGCAGAATGTTACTCATAACAATTTAATGAAAAACAAGTTTCTTTAGCAGGGAACATATATTCCATATTAAAAGATCAGTTCACCTTTGTATTAACAAAAAAATACATATAGGTTTTTGCAGGTAAAAAATGTGCACTTATTTTTTTTTCAGGAGCCTGTAAAGCATTACATCCGTGATCAGCAGCTTGAGGGTGCAATCTCAAGCTCCTACAGACTGTCAGTGTAGCTGTCTGTCCACACCTCATGGCAGTTATTGAATGACAGGAAGCATCAATGAACTCTGTGAATGGATAATAAGTGGGTGGAGCCCCACATGGCCACTTTTTTTTTTAATTGTGAAAGCAGGTGCTGGGAAAAGATCCCCAGTCCACTACCAGAATGGGGGACCGGAATACGGGTGAAATGTTAGGAAAGGTGAACTTATCCTTTGATAATTATGCTACCAAAATTAGTGTGTGCTGTAACTTTTCTCCATAATTGTTCCTGTTTTTTCTTGACACAGGCTGCTAAGTAAATCCCCTTTTTAACTTCCCTAGTGGTCTGATTATGTCCATATTTCTGTGCTCAAAGCGGTACATTTTTTTTGCATGGAAATATGTAGTTTTTTTTATTGTAGGCCTGTAATTTTTAGGAATAACTCACTGAAATCTGTCCGAAATCTGTCCGAACAAGAGTCTAGTAAACATTTTTAACAACATGTTAAAATTTGAAACACAAGATCATAAATTATAATAAATAATCATAAAAAATAATAATAAATTTAATTCAATAATATAATCAAACCAAAAACACTGAAATTTGAAAAATATAGCACCAAGTTCGCACATCACTGAGCAAAGTCGCAAAATCGTTTTCAGTGTCTGATGACGAATTTCCCCACGAATCATCACTCAATTCTGCAAGTAGTTCTAATTTACTATCGCTGTTCTCTAGCTGGTCTAAAACCGATTTTGACCCAAAGGGACGTTTTTTGGACGCCATGGACGTTTCTCAGTTTCCAGGCAGAAAGAACAGTAAAAATGCAGGCAGGGCACAGGACAAAGCACTAGGGACAAAATGTATGTGAAATGGTTTAATACAGTAATGTTTTACTATGTTATTTTAGTGAATGTCATTTTTTGTAATTTTCTAATTTCTCGCCGTTCCGTCCCGACGTCGCAGGGGACGGAACCCAGAAGACAGATGCTGGCATCCGCCAGAGGACATTACAGGGGACACTGCAGGAGGGACATCGTGGGAGCACAGGACAAGGTAAGAGAAGAACAGATCCCGGAGCAGCACCGCATGGTAAGCCCAAGTGTAGCTCGGGGTTACTGCTTGTGGTACTGAAACTTTACCCAAGCTACACTCGGGAATACCGCCAGGGAGGTTAATGCAAGATAGTAGTCTCCGAGCTTTTCTTACTGCAGCTTGACATTGCATGCTATTGTAATGAGTCATTCATCTACTAAAACTCTCCGATTCCTTTTCCATCTTTGATTCACCCAGAGGTTCAACCCCTAGTGAGTAACTTGCATTCATATTTTTACCTCCCAGGTGCATTACATTTTTCCACATTCAACCTGTCTGTCTTATAGCTGCCCACCCCACTATTTTATAGGAAGACAATTTGGTCTTCTTGTAAAGTGTCCATATTCTGTTGTAAAGTTATTGCTCTGCTTAGATTTCTATCAACAGCAAACACTGAGATTGAACTATTTACTCAAACCTCTATATAGTTTATGAACAAGTCAAACAGAATTGGTCCCAGGACAGCGCCCTGCGGACCCCCACTCTGAACTGTTAAACATTGAAATAATGTGCCATTATTCACCACCCTCAGGACGCACTCCTGCAACCATTTTTCTACCCAGATACATACACTATCATCAATGCTATAGGACCTTTATTTGTAAATTAAAAATTTATGGGGCACTGTATCAAATGCCTTAGTGAAATTCAAATACACTATGTCCACAGGCCTTTCTCTATCCATATTACAACTTACCTCCTCATAGAATGTTAAGTTTGGTCTGGCAAGAACAGTCATAAATCTGTGTTGGCTGCTTCTAATAATACCATTTCTATCAGTAAATTGTTGGATATGGTCCGCTATCAATCCTTCTAAAAGTTTGCATACTATTGATGTTAGGCCGACTGGTCTGTAGTTTCCGGGTACATATTTTGGCTCTTTTTAGAATATTGGTACCATGTTTTGCTTTTCACCAATCAGCTGGTACCGTACCATTTCATAAGCTGCCCTTAAAAATTGGATAATGGTTTGAATATAACCTGACAAAGTTCCTTGAGACTCTCAATTGTAAGCCATCTGATCCTGGTGATTTGTTCACATTAGGTTTTCCTAGTTTTTCGTTGTGAAAATATTGCCATTCTTATCTTTGTATCATCAGCAAACACTGAGATTGAACTATCTATGCCAACCTCACTATCGTTTATGAACATTAACCAGAATTGCTCCTAAGAAGCACCCTGGGGCACACTGCTCACAACTCCATACTGCTTAGAAAACATGCCATTACAATGGTATCAATGCCAAGAGACCTTAATTTGTAACTTAAGCATTTATGCGGTACTGTATCAAATTCCTTAGCAAAATCTAGATATTATGCCCACAGGCCTTCCTCTATCCAAATTATACCTCACCTTCTCATAGAAAGTTAAAAGGTTGGTTTGACAAATTAATGTTGGTTGCTACTAATGATACTATTTGCATAAGCAAATGAGAATAGTTTCCTGATTTTAAGGGTTAACATTATGACATGATAAATGCAAGTGATATAATATACTCAAGCATCACTTGAGGATCGCATGATGATGGATAGTGCATGGATCTAATTAAACAGTGATAATAAACCTTTCACAGACATGATGGAATACTTGTGTGAACAATGTATATGAAATAAGAATGTTATTAAAATTATGAAGCAGTAGAATTTAGACAGGGAAAGTTAGACTATTTCTACAAAACATTGGGAATGTCTCTCATCCTCAACATATATAAAATACAGTAAACTGACTGAGAATCCCAATCCATAGGGTCAGGATAACAGATAATGAAAGCTTTCGATCATGTTCTATTGGGATTCACAGCTAAACCTCAGTAAAATACTGTATATCCTCCACCCTTTTCTCCCCTTCCTCCAGTCCCTCTCCCTTTGTTTTTCTTTTCTTGCTCTCTCTTCTCACTATACAATATAATATCCATACTATCTTACATGTTATTCTATCTATCTATCAGGTTTCTCACTTCCTTCTCAGAAATTCTTCTCCTAAAAACTTCTATTGTATGGTTTTTTTTTGTATTAACAATTTTTATTGGTTTTCACGTAAGTATACAAACAGCATGTTTGGAAAAAAAAAAAAAAAACATAACAAGAAGGTACATCGATGGTAAAAAACTGCATAGGTACAGGACAAATAATGTCATAAAATAAAAGTGTAGAGGTTATTAGGACCTTACATTTTGGGCTGGTAAAGAAGAAATGAAGGTATCCCATGGGTTCCATTCTGCCTCAAACACAGCGATCGAGTACATAGGGCAGTCAAAATACTCCATCTGTCTTACATCGGCAATAATTTTGTACAAGATCGGCATTGAAGGGGGAGTAGAGGATAGCCAGCACATAGGAATGCTTCTCCTAGCCGCAGTCAGAACATGCACGGAAAGTTTCCTGGACATTTAGATAGGCCTGGGAATGGTAAGCTTAGTAAAAAATATAATGGTTCAAATGTAAGAGTGGTATGCAATAGTGATTGTAACAAGGACAAAACCTCTTCCCAAAAGGGAGTAATGGAGCTGCGTGTCCAAAAAATATGGTAGAGAGTACCACAGCGCCAGCAGGCAGAAGAAGCATTCGGGTTATAAGCATGGAGAACTTCAGGTGTTTTGTACCATAACATCATGATCTTGTATGTATTTACCTTAACCGCCTCCCGTCCGCCATATAGTAATATGACAGACGCAAGGCGGTTCTCTCGTTCTGGGGGGACGTCATATGAGGTCCTCCCATTCTAACCGCGCATGAGCGGCTCCCAGAGCGCAGCGATCGGCGGTGCGCTGTGTACCTTGGACACAGCGGATCACCAATCCACGGAAAGAGCCAAAGATGTCAGCTTGGTCATGTGATCAGCTGTGTCCAATCACAGCTGATCACATGTAAACAGGGAAATGCCAGTTATCGGCATTTCTCTCCTCACAAGCTGTCACGCTGACAGCTCGTGAGGAGAGGAGAGCCTGTAATCGGCGTTCCTCGGAGGGGACATGTACACAGATCATCAGAGCACTGATGATCAGTGTGGCCTGATGATCTGTGTAGCCCCAGCAGTGCCACCTGTCAGTGTCCATCAGTGCCAGCTCTCAGTGCTCATCCATGCCACCTGCCAGTGCCCATCAGTGCCATATCAATGCCACATATCAATGCCCATCTTAGCTGCCCTTCAGTGTCACCCATCAGTGCCAGTCAGTGCCACCTATCAATGCCAGTCAGTGCCACCTATCAGTGCTGCCAATCAGTTCCACCTATCAGTGCCAGTCAGTGCCGCCTATCAGTGCCAGTCAGTGCCGCCTATCAGTGTGCCTCAGTGCCGCGTATCAGTGCCCGTCAGTGCTGCCTATCAGTGCCGCCTGACAGTGCCAGTTAGTGCCACCTAACAGTGCCAGTCAGTGCTGCCTATCAGTGCCACCTATCAGTGCCACCTATCAGTGCCATATATGAGTGCTGCCTTTCAGTGCCTATCAGTGATGCCTGTCAATGCACATCAGTGCCACCTACCAGTGCCTCCTCATCAGTGCCCATCAGTGCCACTTATAAGTGTCCATCAGTGCAGCCTATCAGTGCCCATCACTGTAGCCTCATTAGCGCACATCAGTGAAGGAGAAAAATCACTTATTTACAAAATTTTATAACAAAAACTATGAAAAAATGTTTTTATTTTCAAAATTTTCAGTGGTTTTTGGTTTGTTTAAGAAAAAATAAAAACCCCAGAGGTGATTAAATACCACCAAAATAAAGCTCTATCTGTCACAAAAAAAAATGATAAAAATTTCATATGGGTACAGTGTTGCATGACCGCACAATTGTCATTCAAAGTGCAACATCGCTGAAAGCTGGAAATTGGCCTGGGCAGGAAGGGGGTATAAGTGCCCTGTAGGCTAGTGGTTAAAGACCACACAGACAGAAGATCTAGCTGCGTTTTCCCAAATTGTCTTGCACATTAACAGATCAATGTCACATTGTAAAAATTGAGACCACTTGCACATGTAAAGATAAGTGTCATTAGATAGGGGGGCGTTCATAAGTAGTCTATATGTGTTAGAAATAATACCCCTTTGGTGTGGACCCTGTATGCATAAACGTTCAAAGGTAGTAGGCTTCTACAGGATCAATGAGGGTGACATGGTAGAGAAAAAGTGGTGTATTTATATATATAAATGTTGGGATGATAGAAGAGCTTTTTTCTGGAGATCTGAGAATGAATGTAGTTTCCAAGTCACCGGGTGTACCAAGTGACGCAGTTGGAAAAGGTTAGCTGTAACCCAAGGGGACATCCGGGACATGGCCATATTGTCTGGGAGATTGGGGTTGTAGAGGATATTTATCAGTGGTGAACAGTCAGAGACCAATGCAAATTTAGCCTTACATTTCTGCCAAACAGTCAGGGAAAAATGCATGGGACCAAGGAATAGGTGGCGAAGGGATAAGACATCCACTGCTGAGGTCGACCAAAGGAGGGAGCAAGGATGGGCCAGAGATACCTGCAAAGATTCAATCTCCGTCCATATGTTGGGAGGATATTGGGTGGACCATGACATGAGAAAACTAAGTAGGTTACTGTCCGGTGCCCCCAAGCCCCCTCTAGAAACAGGCAGAGTAGAACAGAACATGCAATTCTATGCCGTTTGTTGTGCCAAATAAAATGCAGAAGGGATTTCTGAAGGGAGTGAAGTTTGGACATAGGGACAGGGACAGGGAGGGTTGCAAATAAATATAGAAGTGTGGGTAACACAGTCATTTTTAGTACGTTGTTGCATCCGAGGAAAGAAATTCAAAGAGCGAGAAATAGCTATAAATAGGGGGGGGGGATTAGCCTCATATATGGAATGGTAGGAGGAAATAAGATTAGTACCTAAATATTTTAAAGAGTGAGTGCACCATCGATTAGGAAAGGACTCCTGAAGAGAAGACAGAGCGACGGGTGGAATGTGTAGTGGGAGTGCCTCAGTTTTGGATGTATTAACTTTGTAACCTGACAGGGCCCCGAAGTGGTAAGGTCTTATGTAAAATTGGTAGGGAGGTGTGGGGACTCTGTGAGGAGGATGTCAACTGCAAACAAGGATAATTTGTACTCGCGGGTATGGGAATGTATCCCACGTATATCTGGATTAGACCTGATGCCAATAGCTAATGGTTCCAAACAGAGAATGAACAATAAAGGAGAGAGTGGACAACCCTGACGCGTACCATTTAACATCTGGAAAGTGGATGAAAGAAAGGAATAATCTGACCTGTGAGAAGGGGGAAGAATAAAGAACCTTCAAGGCTGCTACAAATGGGCCCCGGAAGCCAAACCTCCTCAAGACCATAAACATGTAAGGCCAACTTAGGCGGTCAAAAGCTTTTTGAGCATCTAAACTCAATAGTATAGCAGGGATGGAGGATCGGTTAACCAAGTCAACCAGATTAATAGATCTCCTGGTGTTATCCGCAGCATGTATGGCAGGCACAAAACCTACCTGATCCCTGTGTATGAGCTTGGGGATAAGTCCGGACAGTCGGTTGGCCAAGATCTTAGTAAAAATCTTTTAGTCGGAGTTCAATAGGGCAATGGGGTGATAGTTGTCTACAATAGAGTGGTCCTTGTCGGGTTTGGGGATAACCGAAATATATGCGCAGGAAAACTCAGTCTGGGGTGTGACACCTTTGAAAAGATCCCGATAAAGAGAGAGGAGATAGGGGGCCAGGATACCAATGAAGGATTTATAATAGGAATAGGACAATCCGTCTGGTCCCAGAGTTTTACGAGAAGGGAGATGTTTAATTGTGTCAAATAATTCCTCAGATGTGATGTCAGCATTAAGGACAGCAATGTCTGAGGGTGATAGTTTCGGAAGCGCTAGGGGATCAAAAAAACTATCAAAAGATGATTGTGTGAGAAGCGGATGAAGGTCTGGGGTCAAACAGTTATAGAGATTCACATAGTATGAGCCAAAAAGGGAGACTATGACATGGGGCTTCCATTTAGTTGGATTAGATTATCCGGCATGGTTGAGGGGGATTGTGCTTTAAGCCAATTGACTAGCATACGATGAGATTTATTAGAAAATTTGTAAAATTTCTGTTTTACCAAAAAGAGGGCTAGAGCAGACTTACTGGAATCGAGATCTTTGATTCAGTCGCGAAGAGATGTCACCTTATGGAGCTCAGAAATGGGCGGTTTAGCCAGTAGACGTCGCTCAGCCAAAGACAGTTGGTGAATAAGAGAAACCTTGGCACTCGCCGAGGACTTTTTTAAATGGGAACCCATAGAAATACAGAGTCCCTCAAATACCACCTTATGGGCCTCCCACAGGGTCGAGGTAGAAGCTACGAAGCCAACATTGTGACTAAAATACATATTATGTCCCCGAGAAAGTTTGTCCCAAAGATGTTCCATGGATAGAAAGGTCTCATTGATGCACCAGTGACATGTTTGCGGCATAATAGTAGGGAAGAAAAGGTTCAATGTTAAAGAGGCGTGGTCAGACTATGTAATAGGGTTGATTTCAGAGGTGACCAGGAGAGGAAGCAGTGGGGCGGAGATAAAGAAATGATCCAGGTGGAAGAAACTACGATGAGGGGTGGAGTAGAAAGTAAATTGTTTATGAAGAGGGTGTCTAATCTGCCAAACATCAAAGAGACGATGCTCCCTTATCAGTCTGTGAAAGGATTTTGAAGAGGAGCATTGCCGCTTCGAGGGTGTGGACTCGAAAAGAACTTTCCTTATATTAAAAAAATTAAATAAAATTAAAATCACCCCCAACAATCACATGTGGAGTGGAAATGGAGTCTAAGTTGGCAAGTGTTTGGGAAAGGAATTGCAATTGACCCATATTCGGGGCGTATAAATTCAACAAAACAAGGGGAGTGTTACCAAGCATACATTGCAAAATAATGAAACTACCTCATTGGTCGACCTTGGAGGAAACAACCCGAAGGGAGCAGTGTGTCCTAATCAAAATTGCCACCCCAGCCTTCCTGGAGGGATCAAAGGCCGAGTAAGCTTGGGAAGAAAATCTTGAGGCAAAACGAAAGGAGCCAGTTGATTTGAAATGGGTCTCCTGGACAAAAATAATGTCTGCTCCTGAGGATCAAAATACCCTCAAAGCCATCCACCATTTTTGAATGGAGTTGAGGCCCTTTATTATGGGGTTTATTTACTAAAGCTGGAGAGTCCAAAATCAGACCCTTCTGCATAGAAACCAATCAGCTTCTAACCTCAGCTTGTTCAATGAAGCTTTGGCAATGAAACCTGGAAGCTGATTGGTTTCTATGCAGAAGGGAGTCTGATTTTGGACTCTCCAGCTTTAGTAAATAAACCCCTATATGACAAAAACCTCAAAACCACAATTACAATTAACATTATAATTGTTTTATTACCTCTGGAAATTATACACTCGCCAACGTTTAGCCTGTTTTGGAAAATAAAATGTCTTTATTTTTCTTATTAAACATATTGATGTAACATAAAACATGAAGCTTCCCTGGTTTATCTATATTTTTTTGTAATTATCATGAGAAGAATGACATATTTACTTACAGAATAAGATAGTAATAAATGTACCTAAACCTTGTGTACCCTTGACTTCCAAAATTTAAATTAAGAATTTATTTAAAAAAAAGAGAATGTTAGCGCATCAGTTTAGTAACCCAATACAACCAACCAATCATGTTTTTCTGGTCTGACTTAAATGAGTGATGTTCCAATATTTGCAACGGGCTATCGATCTTAAAAAAGAAGTTTGGGAATCACAAAAATAAAAAAAAATCATGTAATCACCCAGCTGCAACTGTCCTCCGCCACCTCCAAGACTGAGAATTGATCGCTCAGCTCTTAGTCCTCAGCCTGCAGAGAGCTGGTGACTGTCACTGAGAGGCTGAGCTAGGTGCTGGTCCAGGCTTCTCGCTGGATCCCAACCATATGGTCAGGATCTTTTCAGAGCCTGGAGCGACTCTGTGAAATCAGCAGACAGTGGGCTTTAGCTGAAAATGAGTCACAGGAGTGCAGAACTAACCGCACTCCTGTTGCCCACAGGTGAAGTATAGAAAAAAAATAGCTTTGGCCATACTTCTCCTTTAAACATTGCCCCCATTTACTGAATAAGACGGATAGAAAAATCATCCAATAAAACTCCAGCTCTACTTTTGCTAGTGCAAAAATATAAATATCTTAACATGTAACCACAGTTGCACTTAAATTGAGCAGGTTTTCAAAAAAGTTTATTAGGGTAGGGCAATAGAAGTTGGCTGATACTGAGGATAATGGCAAGCTCGTCAAAATGTTGATATCCAAGATTGGGTACCAAGTCCCATGATTGAGGACACTGACTGATTAAATGAAAAATAAAACCTCTAGAATACA